TGTCATCTCCTATTAAAGAACCGGTAACTGTAAAGACGTTGTCTCAGCTGAGGTCAAATATATCAGTGCAGCCAGGTATGTATATGTTTTATACTGTATTTTCTTTTGCGTTTACTCTTAATAAGAAAGATTTTGTCCGGATGCTTTCCAGTTATTGATTTTAATTGTAAATAAACATTCTATGGCACAATATCAGTATGTTAATTAAATGATTTGAGCTATTCCCTAGTGGAAAGATAATTAAAAGCTGCTACTGGTAATATATGTTGATTAAAAATTGATTCTTTTAATTATTATTAGGGATGCAGACAATGCTAATTTGAATGGTAAGCATGTGGTGTTGGGTGTTGTAGCATCTCTTGTAGTCTAGCAGAAAATATATATATTTTCTTTTCTTTATTGTGTATCGCCTTTACTTTCTTATATAATTATGCTTTACTGTTGACGTGCACTCACCCCTATGTTATATCCATTATATCTGATATTCTACATATTAATACCTTTAGCTCACTGATAATTTTAACACAAAGATTTTAAGATGTTGTAAACTAACAAATAGCAATACTAATCATTGAAATTTAACTGTAAGTTAAGATTATAACTTAAATTTTCCTGGAATGAAACCATTTAATGATTTTCATGTACAGATATCATTATTTATATCTTAAGGCATACCGCAAGGTGTTATATTACAGTTAATATTATTGCAAAAATATATAATAGTCTATATTTGAACAAACATGTTTTATTTTGAGCATTTACATGATATTTCGTGATTTTAGAAAATCCCCTGCCTGATGGTTAGCGTGACACTTTGGCATCAGCAGACCATGCCTGGATTTCCAAGGCGCTATTTAGGTACCCGGCTAAAAGTACGGCGGAGAAGAAGATTGAGCTAAAGACGGACAATCTTCAACTTTGGATGTATCCACCTCAGCCGTCTCTCACTTACACACAGATACCTCGAGTGGATAGGTACTTTAGTACTCGTCTGCTAGTCTGGATGCCGAAAAGACTGTGGAAGGTACAGCTGGTTTGCCTTAATACCGACTGCCGTAGAAGACAGCTTACTCATGCTGGTCTCTACCCAAGAGTAAGACAAGTTCTAGATATCTGTGACTATTACAATCTACCAGACTATCCTAAGCCAGCTTGATATTGGTCATCGCTACCAGTTCCCAGCCATTTTAACATACAGGTAAGATGAGCTTTTGATACATTTATTTTAAGTAAGACCATTTTTACCTATATTGATGTATGTTTGATGTTAAATTATTAAACAATATTAATACAAAAACTGTTTAACAATGATTTCTATGATGAGAAATGTTATTTACATATATTGACTAAGAATTGTCATCATTATGTATGTTTTTTACAGATATGCGTGTGACATGAGCGTTATAACAATGTTGCGGCAGCGTGGGCTAGGAAACAGCCCCACTCAGCTTCAGAGGAAAATGGAAGAACAACATAGTGAGACCTGGCTTCAGAAGTCTATTCACTACCTATCTGCTTGTGAGGCCTACAAGAACGCCATCTCTAAGGGTTTGATCTCCACTGCCTACTTTAGTGAGCCACCACCACAGCCTCCGACACCAAAGTATGCCTGGTATCAGCTTGTTTACTGTCAGGATGTGTTGTTGAGAGCTGATGAAGTTAAGGCGGCCATCACCTCCACCTTTGGTAATGTTCTAAAGATGGATTCTACCAAAAAGGTAATTTTTTATAATATATACATTCATAATACAGATAAAACATCAATGTAATTATGAAATGTGAATGATTCCTTTATTTATTGTTTAAATAAAAATCAAACTGCAATTTATGTCATGAAATTAACTCTATGTTAGGTTGCCCAGAAGTTGGCTGGCTTAAGTGCAAACACTGCAGCGTGGGCGACAAATGTTGGCAACGAAGATGGACAGGTATTGATATCGGTCATTACAGCTGGTGAGGGACATGGTGTTAAACCAATGGTGAATGGTCTGATCAGTCGCTATGCCAACGCAGGTCTTTCGCCACCAAAAGTGCTGTATGTAGACAGGGACTGTTGTGGGGAGAGCACCATCCACAAAATGTTTTCAGCATGGCCTGATCTTCAGGTACGTCTTGACATTTGGCATTTTATGCGATGTTTCTCCTCCTGCTGTACCACGGATTCAGCTGTATGGCATCTTCATGTCACGACTGTCCAAGTGTATTTTTGAGTGGAGTTCGGAGGACCTCCAGCGCCTTAGAGATGCAAAGCGTTCCGAACTCCTTGCCAAGAATGTGCCTGTGAGAGACGACTCGGATGTCTTGCGGTATCTTTCAAAGAGGGAACTCGCTTTACATTGTCGTCGCCAGACACGTGGTGTAGAAGAGACCACGAGGCTCATAAGCGAACTCATAGAGGCTTTTACTGGAGACCAGGGTCTTGATACCATGGGGTTTCCTCTCCTCCATAAAGAGAAGATTTTCAACGAGTGGGAATCCCAGAAAAGGCATGTTGTTTGTATTCAAGATCCGAGTCACTATAGCCTTTATACAGAGACAGGGACGTTGAAGAAAGGCTCAGAAATTCTTCCTACGTTGCGATGTGCTCGAGGATCAACTTCTTTGGAGTCATTTCACTTACACCTTGCCAGGTTTATCCCAGGTAAATGAATTATTTTTAAATATAATCCTATTATAAGAAATAATTTTATTTGCTTAAACTGATTGTTATTTTTGAAATGAATTGTTTTTGTATACATCTATTATTACACTTGTATTGTAAAGAATAGTTCTTTCCTTTAAAAATAGGTTCAACTGCGTCAGACGTCTTGTTTCAAGCATACCTTCTTGACGGTATTGTGAGATGGAATGAAGACCGTGCTAGACAGACTGTCAAAGAGTACATGCCAGGACCTTCAAGCTACAGTGGAATTCTTAGGCATGCTGCCAATGACATAAGCCACAAAGTCCTACATAAGAAAATCATACCAGAATATCAACCACCTAGGAAATATACAGGTGAGTTGATTGGTGTGGAGTACTTGTATGATCAGACTGGCAGGGCCTTGCAGGAGTTCTCCTTGGATCCAGATTCTTCAGACAGTGACCAGGTAGAGACCCAGCTTGATGCCATTGATGACCAGATTGATAAGGGTTTTGAGAAGGTAGAGGTGGAGGACATGACAGTGCCGCTTGTTGATGTTGAGCACTTGTCCGACAGCAATCGACCACAGACTAGAGCTCCCCGTGAGTCAAAGATTTATGGACCTAGCCCATCTACCTCAGCTTCTACTTCATCTTCAATAACTGACGATTCATCGAAGGGAACCAATTCAAGTTTAGACCCTAATGATGTAAGTTTTATTTCTTTTATATGATACAATGTTTTGCATAATTGAAATGAGGAATATCTTCACCATGTTACATTTAAGAGCGAGGTCTTATTTATCTCATTATGTTATTTTACAGGAAACACTTGATCAAGACAACATTCCCATCTATGACATAGTAGAGACTTTGGCAGAGTACCTTTCCAGCATAAGGGAGCAGGTGCAGTCCCTGACTGACAAACAGGCCAAGCATGTGGTACATCTGTGGAATGATCTCTACGAATTTGACAAACAAGGGTCGAGGTTATCTCCCCGCTTTCAATCATCATTACAGAAGGGAAGATTTCACACGACGCGCAAAACAGCAGTCACTCCAGGAATTGACAGTGCTAAAAGGTATTCTTATATTCTCAAGCTGACTTATCTCTTCATTTAGTAGTAAAATAAATATTATTAATTTGTAATGTAATTAAAGTAAATGTTTATTTTTTATAAATGCTTTCAGTCAATAATTATTAATTTAGTGCCTTCATACTGGTTATTAACATAATATATGCTATTCTTTCAGATGTTTCTTAGGCTCGGGTTCAGGACCAGCTCAGTGGCCAGATGCCAACAGGTAAATGACGGTTCTGATCACCAAGCTCCTTTCAGCAGTACAGTCTCTAATCAAACTCAAGTCCAAGACAATTCAGAGGTATTCTGTTGTGTCAACTTTACAAGGACATTCAAAGGAAAATAGTGGAGAACTCTTTCATCATGAACAACACTAACATCATGCTTCTTGAAATCAACCAGAAAACTCTTGGTACTTTTGACCAGAAGAAGACTGCTGCTGAAGGTATTCGCATTCTCGAGCAAGGTATTTCTTTACCCCTGCCACCAATGACTGCTACAAGGACACTCCCCCCTCTACGACCAAAGCCTTTGCCAATGCTTAAAGCTCCCATTCCTCCATCTCATGCACACAAATTTGTTCTGCCTCCTATTACGTCTGGAACTGGTGGAGCTAGGAAACAAGTCGCGAAAAGGCCTGTTGAGAAACAATCGCCAACTTTTGTTTCCCAGTATCCTGACCTGCCAAAAAGCACACTTTGGTACCAGAGGAAGCAACTACAGAAGAAAACAGCAGGAGAATGTGTTAGGCTGAATACTAGAAGAAGACCAACACAAGCCTACACATGCAAGAAGTGTGGCAAAGTAAGATCCAATCAGACTCACAAGCAGTTTTCAGGATACTGGTGGTGTGAAGAGACATCTACAGAGACAGAGTCTGATTGGAGGGAGAGGTGTAGGCAGCTTACAGCTAAAAAAAGTCAAAGATTGAGTGACAATTAATAATTGTTAGCATTATTTATGAATTTCAAACACTCAGCTGTATTTATTTCCTTAAAAAATGCAAAAACAGTTGGCTATAAATAGTACATGTATTTATTTCAACTTTCAAATTGACAAAACTCCCTATAATTCTGTCTAGCTTGAAAAAGCTAGCATGTCCCAAGCCATGAAAAAAGCAGAGGGAAAGAAGTGAATTCATTTTATATATCATCTTCTATGTGTTAGGCTGGGCAATTATTTAGATTCAAATTGTTTGTAGAAATATTCTCTCCTGGTTGTTTAAATGTAGAACATTTCTCTTTGGAGAAAAGGTCTGGGTTCAAGTCCCAGCTAGGATTATATTTATTTCTACAAATTCAAAGTTGTTCTGTCACTGCCTTTCGACCAAGAAGAAACTAATAAAATGAATTCAAATGAAATAGAGACAATATTTAGACAATTATTCCACTCATGTCTCCATTTATTCATTTCTATTTATGTGCTTGTAATTTTTAGCTCGACTATACAAAGTATATGGAGAGCTGTCATACTCGCCCCAGCGTCAGCGTCGGCATTAAAGTTTTGCAGTAAAATATTGTTGTGCCCCCTCTTTAGTGGCGGGCATTTAGATTTACCCTTCTCCGTCCGTCCATCCATCCTTCCGTCCGCCCGTTCTCTTTTGTGTCGCATGTAACTCAAAAAGGATTTGACCTAGAGTCATGAAACTTAACAGGAATGTTGATCAGCATGTGTAGTTGTGCACCTGGGTATTTTTGTGTGGATTTATTTAGTATTTTTAGAGGCATTGCCCTTGACTTAGTAAAATTTTGCAATTTTCAACTTGTGTCGCATGTAACTCAAAAAGGAATTGACATAGAGTCATGAAACATATCAGGAATGTTGATAAGCATGCGTAGTTGTGCACCTGGGTATTTTTGTGTGGATTTATTTAGTATTTTTAGAGTTATTGCCCTTGACTTAGTAAAAATTTGCAATTTTCAACTTGTGTCGCATGTAACTCAAATAGGATTTGACCTAGAGTCATGAAACTTCTCAGGAATGTTGATCAGCATGTGTAGTTGTGCACCTGGGTTTTTCGTGTGTATTTATTTAGTATTTTTAGAGTTATTGCCCTTGACTTAGTAAAATTTTGCAATTTTCAACTTGTGTCGCATGTAACTCAAAAAGGATTTGACATAGAGTCATGAAACATATCAGGAATGTTGATCAGCATGTGTAGTTGTGCACCTGGGTATTTTTGTGTGGATTTAATTAGTATTTTTAGAGTTATTGCCCTTGACTAAGAATTTTTTTGCAATTTTCAACTTGTGTCGCATGTAACTCAAAAAGGATTTGACATAGACCCATTAAACCTTACGGGAAGGTTGCTCAGCATATTTAGTTGTGCACCTGCGGTTTCGCTTGTGGATTTATCCAGTATTTGTAGACTTATTTTTTCCTTGACTTAGTAAAAACCTTTTCATTATGTTGTTATTTGTTTCTTGAGTGCTTGAGTTAGAATCAACCAACTTTACAGGAATAATGATCAACATCACTAAATTACAGGAATAATGATTCACATCACTGTGAAGCTATGCACCTGGGACTTTGCATGTGGATTTTTTTCAGTTTTGTAAGAGTTGTTGCCCTTGACTTACAGTAGTATAAATTTGCAATTTTCATGCATATCTGAAAAAGTATTTCACTTGTAGGTTTGAAAGTTTACAAGAATGTTAGTCAGCATGTGTACTTATGCACCTTGGGGTTTGCTTGTGGATTTATTCAGTATTTGTAAAGTTCTTGCCCTTTACTTAGTAAAAGATTTTTAGTTTTCAAAAAATATTTGTCATAAGATTGACAGAAAAGTGGCGCTGTGGGGGCACCCGTGTCCTATGGACACTTTTCTAGTTCACTATAACTTTGTCATTTCTTAAGGTATCAACTTCAAATATATGTACCTTATAATTAACTACATCTTATGTGACAAGGTTCATAACTCAAGCACCAACATTTTCAGATTTATCTCCTCTTGAACTTAGAATTTTCCTTAAAAATATTATTTTTACTGTAACTCATTTCTTAAAGGATCAACTTGATACTTCAAATATATGTATGTACCTTATCATTAACCAAATGTTATGTGACAAGGTTCACAACTCTAGCACCAATATTGCAAGAATGATCTCCCCATAAACTTAGATTTTTAGCTCACCTGAGCATATGCTCAGGGTGAGCTATTAGGATCGTCGTCCGCCGTACGTCGTCCGTTGTCCGTTCACACTTTTAAAACGACATCTCCTCTGAAACCATAAGGCAGATCGTAATGAAACTATAACAGGGATGTTCCTTGTGTGAAGCCTTAACAAAGTTGTTCAAAGAATTCCATTCCATGCAGAACTCTGGTTGCCATGGCAACCAAAAGAAAAAACTTTAAATATCTTCTTCTAAAAATACCAAAGAGCTAGATCTTAGATATTTGGCATGAAACATCTTCTAGTGAGTGTCCCTGCCAAGTTTTGTTTCAAATAAAAGCCCTGGGTCAAAAATTGGGCCCCGCTCCAGGGGGGTCATTGATTTTCCCTATATGCATATAGTAAAAACTTTTGAAAAATCTTCTTCAAAGAACCGAAAGAGCTAGAGCTAAGAAAATATTTAGCAAATGAAATCATTTCTAAATGGATGTCTACCAAGTTTGTTCAAATAAGAGCCCTTGGGTAAAAATTGGCCCCGCCCCGGGGTCATTGATTTTCCTTATATGTGTATAGCAAAACTTAAAAAATCTTCTTTGAAAAAAAAACCCAAATAGCTAGAGTTTAGATATTAAGCACGAAGCATCTTCTAGTGCGTGTCTACCAAGTTTGTTCAAATAAAAGCCCTGGGGTCAAAATTGGACCCGCCCCGTGGGGGGTCATTCATTTTCCTTATATATGTATAACAAAACCTATAAAATCTTCTTTGAAAAAACCTGAATAGCTAGAGTTTAGATATTAAGCATGAAACATTTTCTAGTGTCTACAAAGATTGTTCAAATAAAAGCCCTTGGGTAAAAAATGGCCCTTCCCCAGGTGTGTCATTGTTTTTAACTATATGTGTAAAGAAAACACTTGACCAGCTAGACCTTAGGATGTTTCATGAAACATCTTCTAAATGGGTGTCTACCAAGTTTGTGTTCAAATAAAAGCCCTGGGGTTAAAACTGGCCCGCTCCGGGGGCCTATATACAGGTGAGCGACTTCAGGGCCATCATGGCCTCTTGTTTTTATAACTTTTTTGTTTTAAAGGTATTCTAACCTCAAACTTCAAATACTTACTCCTTATCATCAATTATCATTTTATGTGTCCAAGGGGTCATAACTCTTGAAGCAATATTTACCTCTTCTTTGAACTTAGGATTTTCTTTAAAGAAACATTATAACTTTTTTACTTTTTAAGGTATCTACTTTCAAACTTCAAATATATATTTCTTTATCATTACACGCATGTTGTGTGACAAGGTTCATAACTCTAGCGTGACTATTTCTAGAATTATTCCCCTTGATCTTGGAATTTATATTAACAATGTTATTTTTTACCATAACTTAATACATAATTATACATAATTGATTTTTATTTCATAGTTTTGTCTTCCTTACTGCGTCCAGTATTTTATTAGTCGAGCTTCGCTGTCTCCTGTGACAGCTCTTGTTGATATTGTTCTGCCATTGGATTACATGTAATTGTTTTTGGCTTCCAGCCACGGCTGCAAGCCATTTGTTTTGAATAACTTGTTCCGGTAAGGTGGCTTCCTGTTTCCAATTGTTAGTGCATGATTGAACGGGAAACCAGCTGCAATCGTGCCAATCGCAACTTTTCGGCCTTTTCCGTCACTTTTCGGATTAATGATAATAGCCGATGTAGTTCCGATTGCAAATCGTGACAATTCGGGCGATTCCGTCAATACTGCGGAATCAGACGAAGTAATATTTACGGAAATTTCTAAGCTATTTTAGTTACTTTTGTAAATCCCAGTTTTGTTTATATAAAATAGGATTTCTATTTTTAACTTGAATTTATCG